GAACAAGAAAAAGAGAAGAAAAAAAAGTAGCACCCCTGATGGATTTTAAAAAAGTAAACTAAATTACTATCGAGTTAATCTCCTGATGCCACAATTTAAGAAGAGACAATACAAAAGGACATTACAAATGGACATTATTAAAACATGGCTTACAGTATAAGAATATAGAACTATACAAGCAGTTAAAACTTTAAAAGCACAAATGGGCATTAAAAAATACAGATTCGGTAAGAGAGATTCGAGTGAATTATAATGCAAAAGGCACTATAAAATTGAGAAAAAAAAACAAGCAGCAAGGTATTTGAATGGGCAAGGCAACTAGAAATTTAAACTGTTTTGGTCAAGGGGACCTCCTGGCCAGGGACTAATAAATGATTTCTGAGAGAATTTGTAAAGGAGGATAAACTATGGATATTGTAAAGGAGGATAAACTATGGATAATTGTATCTTTAATGCAGGCCGGTAGTTCATCCCATAATCAAGATTGTTTCATTGTTCATCCAAACAGCAAACTGTACATCATATAGTAGAGGGGAAAGCAATGCTGAATCTTGCCACTGGATAACAAATTCACAAAGAAACTTTGATCAAGCAAATGATTCGTTACAAACTCTTCAACTTGACAAGCCAGTTTCGCACCTCGACGATTGGGAGGATCTTGCAGGAATTTCTCAGTCCAGTCACGGGAGGCGGCGGGATTTCGTGGCTTTATATCTAAACTTCATGCACTTTGATTTCAATGGTTATCGAGCCATCATCTTAAAAAAAAAAAAAAAAAAATGGGCAGTGGAACTTTTGTTGGCAAAAGGACCCCCAAATACCAGTTGCAACATTACACTTGGCAGGGTAGGGAAAGAAGGGATTTAGTCATCCTAAAAAAGGAAAAGAAAAAAAACTTCTGAGGGTGCATAGTATGTTTTGAAGGGGCACAGTGGAAATAGTTTGAGATAGGCACAATTAAGTTGGTGTCTTTTGTTCATTTAAGATTTGAGGGAAACTATTCCAGAGAGTACAGTGGTTTTTGGATCACGAGAATCACACTCATGACAGGTACAATCCCTCAAACCGCAAGTTTGCTTAAAATTTCAAGTGACAAGTTGTATGCAGGCTGACAGCCCATAGCCAAACATTTCTCATGAAATGGAACAGGGGAGAAGGTGAGGGGGGGGGGGAGTTGCGCCTCCATGTTGTCCTTGGGGAGGTAATGATGAGTACATCTTGCTCAGCAATGTGCTACGGGCCCTAATCCTTTTCCTGTTGGCCAAAAAACTGCACCATCATTCCCCGAATGCAAAGTAACATTGTATTTTGTACCTATGATTCAGTGAAACTGTAAAGGAGTCTTTGTACTTTGGTGGCATGCGCTGCATGCTGCACAGTTGTTCTACTGATCACCATACCATAAACTCAACCGTGGAGGAACAGAACACTGAGTCCATGACTCAACAGAGCAGTTTTATTAAACTGAAACCTTTGAAGATTAAACTGAAACCGTTGAAGAGCCTAGGTATTAGTCTGACATTCTGCAAGGACAATGCGTCAAAGTCTAGGTTTCATAAAAATAAATGCTAAAACATGTGCAAAACATCAGAAAACAAATGGAAGAGATATTGGGAAACATAAACTGGGGGATGGGGGGGGGGAGGAACACATATCCCTCCAACTCTCCTTTAGGGTTAAAGCTCATTTTTTGTTTAAAAAAAGCGGCATTTTTGGTGCAAGGGTCTGATCTAGCACGACAGCTTGTCTAACCAGGCAATTTACATGATGTTGTCTGTAGTCTGCATCAATCAGGGCTGGGCCATATACATGTACTTCACAATGCCCTGCCCCCTAATACCATGATAAACTAGGATCAGGGAGCCTTCCCTCTTAACAAGTTGTCAAACCCTGTGCTGAGACGGTTGCTCCTCAGAACCACTCCACCTCACGTATCCAATAATCCCACCCTCCCTTGGGAAAACGAGAATTGCTTCGGTTAATTTGCAATGCCTTCTTCCCCCTACCTCCCTCAGCAAGTGTCAAAATTCACCAAATTCTCGTGAACTCAAAAGTCTCCAAAAGTTTGACTAGACTGTCCAAGCCACTGGCCGAGAGCCCGGCCCGAGCGAGTTTCACAGACAGAGAACGAGGATGGGACCAATTTGGAATCCATCCTGGACTGACAATCGAAACCATCAAGAGTGGGAGTGAGTTATGATAACATCCCCGTCAGACCACAAAAAGAATGTTATGTGTTACCATTCAGGCATGTTATGTGGCTCTCTTTGACGTTGTTTAAAATCAAACAGTTTTGCTCTAACCTTTAGCTTAGCCACGTCATGTTTCTTAAATCAAAGGGCTATTATGCAGAAGTTTTCAAGAACTTCAGGTCATACTGACTTTTAAATCTACAGCGTTGCAGTGTTGTGGGACCCAAGTCCAGGACTCGGACTCGAGTTGGATACGAGTCACAATTTTTGTGACTTGGACTCGAGTCACATTGGAAAATGACTCGGACTCGGCCATGATGACTTGGACTCGAGCTTGGTGACTCATGACTCAAGTCAAGCATTTTTATCAAAAGAAAAAAACATAATGTAGGGATGGGAAGTGATGTCGTGATTCGGACTCGGACTTGAGGCTTGTGACTCGAGACTCGGACTTGAGGCTTGTGACTTGAGACTCGGACTCTAGGCTTGTGACTCAGGACTCAGACTCGACATTGGTGACTCGATTACTACACTGCAGCGTTGTTATTCCCAATTTATCTTTTCTAGCTGGTTCTCCAGGAGAACTTGTTAAACAAGTCTACCCTAAGCAGATCATCTTCTATCTTTTTTGCCAAGGATTACAAGTTTGCTCTATATCATCCACTAAAAGTTGGAAGACAGTACTTGAGTTCACACTATGGAACTGGATAAATTTCTCTCTCAAAAGTTGTTGTCACTCTTTGAAAAATAAGGAGTGGGTTTCCAATTTGCACAATCCTTCATGTCGAGGGCTTACCAGCGGTTAACGAGATAAAAAAATGAGGGAAATAAAAGTTTAGTTCTCTGAGGAGGTAAAAGTTGGCGAAGGAAATCATTACATAGGATGTTTATAGGAAAGAGGGTCAATGCTACACACATGTTACATGGCCATGACAGCTGTATGTTTGACAAACATGGAAAGGGGGGCTATATGAGGGAGGGGTAGTATCAGAGGATTGGACATGGGGTCTCCAAAATCTCAAAGATACGATCCAAGATGATTAGTGCAATAATTAATTATCCAAGGGTACAGGGGCCGCCAAATTTGCACTTCCTACCCCCAGGAAATGATGATAAATGGGATTATAATCTGAAGACTCCTTTAAAGGAAGCTCCGAGAGGAACTTGCCCTCCGAAACTTGGCATTTTGAGATGGATTTTTTTCTTTTTTGAAATTTGATACTTCTTTGATCCATTCTGACGGTTTTACAATCTAAAACAGAAGAAACAAATGTCTTTCTAGGATGCCTTAATGTCAGAGTGAAAGTCACTTTAAATCATTTTCTTCTGCTAAACAGCCCAGGCATCAATTCTCCGACGACGGACGGACTCAAAAAACAAGTTTACCCCTTGATTCCTCCCAGAAGACGACCCCCCCCCCCCCCAATTCTCAGCTTGAAGTATCGTATTTCACTGGATTCCCCGAGGGAAAGGAAACTGATAACAGAACCCCACGGTAAAAAAACAGAAGAATCCTGCCGTCCCTACAAGAATGTTTCTTGAAGTTCTTTGTAGAATGTTTTATTTGCCCCCCCCCCTCCCTTCTTCACCCTCCCCCACGGGAGGGTGGGGTAATCAATCAACTGGTGTACCCCTGTCACATTTTGAAATCCTGGGGAAATACACGTAATTTTATTGAAGAGAAACAGTATTCTGTACACGGTTTTAGAAATGAAGACTGATGACGTGTATATATCTAGTGGGTGACAATTATTGTAATATGGAATTATTTCTCCCCCCCCCCAAAAAAAAAAAATTATAAAATCTATTACAAAAATAACAATTAAAAATAAAAAGATAAACAACAAAGTTTTAAAAATGCATCAATAAATAAATACAAATAAACTTAAAGAGAATATACAGCATTATTTGCTTTCGCTGTAATTTTCAGAAAAAGATGGATTTCGGGGTTTACTATTTTATAGCAAATATTGTTACATTGACTTGTTTGAAGTTATGTCTTCGTAGATGCTGGAAAAACCAAGAAAGCAATCACTTTCCTGTAGTCTGGTTCCCTGATGTCACTTAAGATGAAACGGAGCAATTTATAGACGTCGAGGAATTGTAAGGTCAGGGAACCAGTCTAGCTTGATTTTACCTATTCATAGGTGTGTAATTCATTGCAAACAAAATGCAGACTAACTAAATATGGTAAATTGGAGCAGAATTAAAAAAAAACAACCTTTTTTTCCAACGCTGGTCGGCCGACCAGCGTTTGAAATTGATATGAAAATACAATTTTTCTTGAAAATGACAGCACACCAGTTGCCATGATTTTACAGGATGCTTAAGACAGTCATTCACCAACAGTCCAGTAAGGTATTTCATGATAATTTGGTAGTTTTGTTTTTTGATGTTTGCAAATGTTGTATATTCCCTTAAAACTTGTTACTGAAACCCTCAAAAATGGATGCAATAGGTTAACACATAACTGATGATTAAGAATGGTACAACCCCAAAAACACAAAAAATGAAGAACATGTACTTTGCATAATCAGTACTAGCGGCACCTCATAGTAAACAAACAGCAACAGGTGAACGAGTCACATACTCGTGTATCTTCTGGGAAATAACACTAGGAAGTATTGGAGGAAAACCTACTTAGAGACAGCCGTTACCATTTAAGGGAAACTGTCACAACTTCAATACATGTACATGTTAGGGGAGAAGTCTTCTGTCAAAACGCCCCGAGCATTTTCGCCTGATTTCAGGGTTACATACGCAAGCCAGCCTCGCTGAATGCCAGTTTGTAAATATAAGAAAACTCACCTTGCCACAATTTGAAAATTCCACGGCCCTCTCTCGGAAGAAAAAGTAGACCCACGGCCCAATCTCATATGAAGAAATGAAGTTTGGCTCTGCAAAATGACAAGGGAAAGAAAGCTCTCATTGTTTTGTTTCGTGTATATTTTCTGTTTTTATAAAACCACTATCAAATGTAGCAGCATGGATACTGATATTGGACTCTGTCATATTGATATAGAAATAATAGTTACCTTTCAGAGTCTGATTTTGTTAAGCTTGCGAGGTTGTCATGACCTCTTCATTCAGCGTTGTGGCTAAACCCCTCCACTCATGTGACCGGTCACATGAGAGCAGATCCTCATAGATGGCGGGCAGGTCATACCCCGCGGGTATTGATCTCTATGGCCTCCCTGATCTGCCGGAGATCTATGACGATCAATCTGCTCTCACGTGACCGCTCCAAAGGTGGTCACGTGAGCAGAGGGATTTAGCCACAACGCTGAATGAAGAGGTCATGATGACCTCACAAGCTACGTCATACTTAACAAAATCAGACTCTGAAAGGTAACTATTAAGACTATCAAATATAATAATTACATGTGAACCTTTGACAGACAATTGTATTAAAAAATTGCTTAAAAAGACAAATATATGAGGAGAGTGTCTCCTTGCAGTAAAGTTTTGCAATTGAGGGAAAAGTTTGGTTTCAGATTATATAACATGACTTGACAAAATGAAAAAAAAAATAGTTGATAAATGTTTACAATCTGTTGTGATTCAAAATCTTTACGGGGTTACCATTTCGTTCTTCACAAACTACAAAGAAGTATTCTACTGATGTAACACTCTCTCAGATTTTGTTCACAGATGCAAACAAGTATACAAGCCATACATCCTGCTTCCAAATTCCCAAAATCTACAAGATAAAAACTAGCGTCTACAAGTATGACTCCACTTCTCTGGACATGAATGTACCCCTCGAAAAGATAGTGCAACAACACCCTAAATGTAAGCATCCGTTTGATCTAATTTTGGAACAACTCAGCAATGATCAGGACTCCCAAGTGTGACAACGCAAATCAACAAATCGCCACATTGGACTTTCCAAATCCTCACATAAGATCTTCCATTTCCAGAAAGTGTTTGGCCTCGTTTCTGTGTAATTTGTTTGCGACTGACAAGACTCCCCCCACACGCAACATGACTGAGCCAAATTGAAAAAAAAAAAACAAGTAGGAAAAGACAGAAACGACGCAATGACATTCCAATTAAGAGATCGCAGTTTTATTGCCGAGCACCATGTGCACTGTCAACAAACGCTATCGGGGTAGACCGTTACCCGGACTGATCCGTTTGCAACAGGTGATGCCGCGTGGATCTGCGATGATTCACTGGATGCGAGGCGGAGTAACTCCGGCGCTGCTTAGACACGGGCATGAAATCGCACTATTGCTTTTCCTCTGGAGCTTTACCTCTGCTTCCTCGATAAACACTCGCAGCATCAAGAAAATAAGGTCATGTTTTGTACACTGAACTTTTTTCTCTGGAAATTTATGCACATAGTTTTAAAAATTGCAATGGGACAACATTTTGTGTAAAGTTACAATTAATGGTTTTTGCATTTAGAGACAATTTCTAAAGCTGTACGTTGTGACGTCATGCCGGCAGGCAAGCTATGGGCAACCCAAACATTTGTGATGGGATCAAGCTAAATGAGTCCGATCAAGCTAAATGAGTCGTTTGTCGACCCTGGTCAATTTTTTTATTTTTACAGATTTGAGAAGAGCACAATCTCAGCATTACTGCTGTGAAAACCGCATGCTGATACTATCTTTAGTTCAAAAATTATGGAAGTCGGAACACCAAGAGATGTGATGAAGTGATGTGATAAAGTGGCCCTATATATTTTGGCCTGAATCTCCAAATGAAACTTCCCGACAAACGACTCATTTAGCTTGATCGCATCACACTTAAGCATCTTTTGCACCTTGTTTGGCCCACATTAAAAATAGTGTACATGTCATTAGTGTTTTAACCATTCATACTTCAAGAGATATACATGCAGTGCAGGAGAGAACCATTTGCTGAAAGTTTGGGATAACGTGAAAACAACAGCCAATTTTGTATTAAACAGGAAAATTCAAAAGCTTACTCGTGTGGGACTTGCACCCACAACCGTCTGCTGGCTAGCGCAGATGTTTTACAACTTGACCAGATATGCTCCATGCTTAAATGCGTAATGATTTGTATGTAGACAAATCCGATGGCAGCCATTTTGAGTGGCGGCACCAGGCTTGCCTGAGTCGCGCTCAGGTAGTACACACGCACTCCGGGCTCCTTTGACCAAAAATGCGCCTGCCCCTCGTCTTTAAGAACGTTTGCAGCATGCGCGTGATCATGACACCACCGCAGTAAAAGCTTCTAATTCTGGTCGCCGGATTCCACTTGATGACTTGCAACTATGAGCTTTTTGTTTTTGTTGTCTGAAATAATGAGGCTGGATTTATACATTAACCCTTTAGTCACTGTAGAGCCTGAATCCGCCATGCCTATTACTCACTCTTCAGTAAATAACCACAATGTAATACAATGTATTACAGGTGCTAATGGGTTAATCATTACAATTCCACTGGTGAAAAAAAATAACCCAAATTTCACTTTTCCTAATTATCAGTTTTCACAAATTGGAAGGAACACACAGAGTGATGCGATGAAGAAAATGGAGCTTCCCCGAAGGACATGGAGGAAATCCTCGAGATTTTGCCTCCACAGGTGAAGCAAAAACAGAAGGGGAACACGTGGGAGAAAAAAAAAAAAAATTGGCAAGTGCATTTCATGTGCCCCTGGAACTCAGTCCTGTTTTCATTGTATTGCGACCGCCTGAGAGCCGCACGGCACTCACTGGAGAACGGGGCACGGAAAATTGAAAATTTCCTGTTATTACCCAAAATAAGAAATGGCTGCGTGCCTCGCGCATCGCACTTATGTCACTGTTTTCCTTCGTCTTGCACTGCGCACTATGTCACTGCGAAAAATTACATATTTGGGTTTTAATACATGTGTATCTTCCTTGAACCCTTTGCTGAGGCTTCCTCAAGACGGCCTTGAAACTGGCTGACAAATCCAGTTAAGGGGAAGACCTCACATTGAAAAGGGGACGTTCACTGATTGGTACCTGTGTACCGGTTTGGAAAATTCAAGGTGTTTCTCAGAGTTTCTGTCAATGTTTTTTTGGCTAGTCTGGGAAAACGAAGCAGGAAGGAAGTATTCTTTTTTTTTCTTCTTCTAAATATGAAGGGACTCTTGTACTTCTCAAAATATTAATCAAAACTGAACTTTATTTCAACAAAATTGGCACACCGCCAATTTTTGGCAAGGCAAGTCAGTCAGAAGAAGCTCCCATACAATATTCTGGAGCTTGCAGCTTTAAACCCCATTGCCATCAACTTTCTTTGCTAACTCTCAAAATATCAGGCAAAATTTGAACTTAATTTGAACAAATTGGGAGGCAGCCCGTGCAGGGCAAGGAAGTTCACTCGATAGAGCTCCTGTGCGGTGTTCAAGAGGTCGCTGGTTCAAACCATACTCCTTTCATTTTGTCAGCTCACTCAAAAAAGCCATTGTCGATTCCTAAATAGCTACCACCAGTCTCTCTCGTGTCATCTGTGAATTGTGGTTGGGTCGAGAATAGGGGGGAAAACAGCTCCTGTTGATTCATGCAAAAACCCGTCTGAGATATCCCAATATGACTCAATGGGGTTTATCCGTGTAGTTCCTAATCTCACGGGACGAATGGACAAACAAACGAGTTTCCTGGATGAGCTCCCTATCTTCCAAGATCTTATCCCCTGCTAGTCTGTACTGGTATCGCAGCAGTGACTTTGACAAATCAAGCAGAGTCTACCACTTGAGTCTACCGATCAAGATGGGGCCGACAGTAGCTAGCTGCTGTTGGAGAGTCAGGTCAGTGTTTAGGTCGGCCAACTCAAACCGGTGGAGCAGTCAAGACATCTGGTGTGACAGAGGTTGCCTGCTTCGGATCCCACATGGGTGAGCATCTGAACTTTACAACGCTGACGGGGTGACTGTTAGACTAAGTTTCGTTCCGACGATCGAATCGACCAAATATGATGGATGCTTCAATACGAATATATCTACAGATACTTTGTGTAACATGCAGCTTATGTAAGTAAAGGGGATCCATAGTTACCTAAAAAATATCCTAATTAGTCACTTTGGAATCACGTCTAAGAGAATGATTGACAAAGACAATGATCCCTTGAAACAATTGCTGAAAAGTACCTCCTGTCTGTGAGTTAGGTATAATTTTCTTTTATAAAACTGCAAATTTAGTCAGTCCATGCGAATAACAATAATCCACTGAGAGTATGAACTTGGCAGTGGGAGCTCAGAACATCTCTTTTTACAATCCTTAGGCATCAGGGGACATCACAAGCCCCATTTTTATCAAAACCATTTTTTATCAAAAAGTGCGAAGGCACACATATGTACGTGTAGTCGTGTAGTAGTCGCCTTAGGCTCTAGCAAAGTAGGCCAGACTCAGGTATATTCCTGTCGGCTATGCACACCTGAAGCTAAATCAACAGTCGGAGCGCACGGCCTACGCAGGAAAGGACTCTCCCCCTCCCCCCCCCCCCCCCCTCCTTCAACATTTTTGTAAACAGGGCACGAGAGAGCTGTTTTTACCGAAACTCCTAGCATGTAGGTCAGGACATTAGAGCTACTACTGGAGCTGATTAGATTAGCCCAGAGATTAGGATCGAAACTTAACAAAACCCCCAAAAAGCCACTCCCCTTTCGCTCCCAGCGGACCGCACATTATTTTTCACGCTGTCGCTCAAGCGAGTGATGTCTCACTTTTTTTTTTTTGGCTTTCGCTTGTTTTTTTTACTCCCTTAGGATGCTAGGTATTGTCTTTCTGTCGGAGTGTGGCAAGCAAAATATACACTTTTATCAGCCCAGACTTAATAAAATTTAACTCTTTTGGGCGGGCGAGGCACACAGACAAACTAAAAAAAAACTTGCTTTGTCCCAGTGGCCAATATTTCAGGAGCAAGGATTGTTTTCCAACTCCGCGCAAGTTTCGAGGCGCGCCTTTTGGCAGATACACATTGATGGCGCCCTCATAAATAAAATTTAACTCTTTTGGGCGGGTGAGGCACACAGACAAACTAAAAAAAAACTTGCTTTGTCCCAGTGGCCAATATTTCAGGAGCGAGGATTGTTTTCCAACTCCGCGCAAGTTTCGAGGCGCGCCTTTTGGTAGATACACATTGATGGCGCCCTCAGCGGCATTACAGAGCAGAGTCGGTGCCGAAGATTCAACAATCAAATATAGGAAGTTATTGAAGTATGTAAGCCAGTGGCGCACCCAGGATTTGGCTTGGAGGGGGGGGGGGGAGGGCTCACAAATTTTTCTTCCAAATTTATTTAGAAGTTTGTTTTTTTTCCCCAAAAAATGTTGCCCGAAATTTGTGGATGCAGAAAATAATTTGGGGGGGGGGGGGGGGAACGGACTATTTTGACGTTGGTGGCGCCATTTACAACCTATTATACTATAGGCCACATACATATCACCACGATCAAATCGTGGGAATAAAATAAAAATTGACCCCCCAAATATGAAAAATTTGTCAACCTCTTGGGGGGGGGGGGGGGCACAAGCCCCCTGAGTCCCGCCCCTTGGGTGCACCACTGATGTAAGCTGTCGTTCCTCGATAAACTCAAAACCTTATAATGAAATCCCATGCCAACATGTGGAACTGGACCCACATGTACCGGGTACGTCTATCATTGCTAGAAAGCAGCGCATACACACTCACACACAACAAGCCCACCATGTTGTGCCGGAGAAACTTGCTGCATCACTATGTGACTTGAGTTTCAATGTTAAATACACTTACACGGAAGAAGGAAACCTCAATAAACACCGTCAAACATTGAAACTAGTTCAATGCCAAGCGCCCGGCACAGACAACACTTGCTCAGTCCCAAAATACTCTAGAGAGAGCCCAGGCTGCAGACGTAGTCCATGCAAGTAAAGGCCGGCCATAACATCCAGGTGTTGAAAACATGCTGAAGCACATGAGACTTTTCTATACTGTGTTTTTGTATTTTTTTCCAGTTTCAAGTCAATCGAGAAAATGTGCCTCAACAAGGGTTGAAAAATCTAAATCACTGGATAAATGTTTTGCTTTATATTTGACTGGTAACAAATTCTATGGTGTGTAAATTGTACTTTTGTTGTTGTTGAGGGCAAATCACGACCAGTATGCATGGGTACCAACATGAGAAAAAAAGTCTTCCTTCGAGTTTTAGCCTGTCGTTTGAGACTCGCTCCCAAATGATTAATTCTAAATATTAAGTTCAGCATTTGAAATAATTAGGACTATGTGAGAAAAATAAACTGTTGTTGTTTCTAACGATTCCAGAGTCTACTCCATGGAATATGAACATAATATTTCTCTGTCTGAAAACAAAATCTATTTTGGATCCAACCGAATCACTCCCAATACTAGTTGGCTCGGCGCGACTCTGAGAGTCATCTTGAGAATTTCTATGAGGATTTTTACTCACCATTCAACCACTTGGAGTTGAGCTGAGCAGTCCGCAGCGGGCGCGAGCTCCCCAGCGTGCGGTACAGTACGGGATCGCGGGCCGTGAAGTCCATAACGGTGGCGCTGTACAGGTCGCCGTCTTGCGTAAAGAGCGCCGTGGTGTTGCTGCTGGGGTCGTAAGGGCAGCGCGCAATGCCCGTCACACTCTCCTCGACAAGGGTCAGGTTGGATTTCTGTTACAAGGTTTGAAAGAATGCACACACAAGCAATCTTTATTGAGTGTTCCTGCGACAAGGGGCATCAAGCAAATATTCCGAAAGTCACAGAATAAAAAAGCAGTTCGGTTCAATAAAAATTGGGAAACCTTGGGCGTATTCAATGTAGCTGGTAAGCAGCTTCAGCTGACTGAATCTGCTTACTGCTTACGTATGTAATTTCAAGCCGTAGCCAAGAAATTCGGACACGGCCAAATATTACTCAGCAGATTTATGTGCTCAGCAGCAATTATCAGGGAACCAGTCACGAAGCAATATGCATCCAATGACATTTTGGCTGGTTACCTGTCTTTGCTAAGCATATATTTTCTGTGCTGAGCAAATTTCTGAAATTGGCTCCTGAATCCTACAGAAATGGATTTTTTCAGGTGACCATTTGAAAGAATCCAGGTTCTCTCTGGTAACATTTCTGGATAGTCTTCTCTACTTATTTTTCCTTGGCCTTCCAAGCTACAGTCCATTAGGCACTTTTGAGGAACCCTTGGGATTATGACAATAAAAAAAAAAGTCTAAAGGTCAATAAAATGAATAAATGTAATACCTGTCGCCATGTGCACGTCGGTGAGAAAGCGTTGGTTCCACAAGCAAAGACTCGCTCCCCTTGCAGCAACAGGACCCGGATGTAGTTACAACACTTTTCCTGAAAACAAAAATTCAAGATGATTAGAGTAAAGGATCTTACAACTTATGTAATAAATCCTTGTCAATTAAGTCATGTAGTTCAGGAAAAAAGGTTTATATCTTACAGGATTTTCGATGCATCATTATTACTATTATTTTTAACGGGCTTTCATTTTTTATACTTGGATAGGCATGACCAACTAGTTTTCAAAGTGAATTTTTGAGATGTGGCAGTAATATTGATTTTGAATTTTGAAGAAAGGGGACCATTAGATGTTACGTATTTCGTTGTTTCTTGGTTCATTTGGTTGTGTGTTTAATTTGATGGCACATGAATAAAAAAAGAAAAAGGAGAGATTGTTTTTATTTTAAACTGTCACCCAGACATAAATGTATCTTGCTGTCAATCTTCGCAAAAAGAGGAAATTGACAACTGGGCTAGAATATTAAACTGTAAATTTGCAGAATTTTTCTGTTATTTTTGGAGGTGCGCGTGACAGGGCCTAATTAAACCCCACCCCCATGGCGTCAGGAGTAATTTGGATTATCGGGAGCAATGATGGCACAGATTGCCTGGACGCACGCTAAACGTGTTCTCCTGATGACCCCGCTTCCGCACTTCCCAATCCCGATTTCACAAAATAAGTGTCAAAGACAATTTGAACGTCCGTCCTTGATAACCTGGAAGGGGTGATGTTTTTTGGCACAGGTTTTGGCGAAAAACAAAAAAGGATATCAATTTCACCGTTTCTGCCTGGGATAGGTTTTTTGGAAGTTCCCAGGGTGCTAATTTCTCCCCTTCTCCTGTTAACAGGACACTTTGGACGCTCAACGTTAATTGACATGGAAGACCGGTGTTGACTCATAAGGGATTAGAGGGACACCACCAATCATGGACGGGGCACTTGTGATGGCCAGAACAGGTCTGCGGTGTGATGGTCAAGGCGTCAACTCTGACCCTTAACGCCTCAAATATATATCCTCCTACAACAGCTGATTTCCATTTCCACTTTTTGGGGAAGGCTTGTTTCCTTGCATTTCCATCAGACTTTAAACGTACTTATCGTGCGAAGTGGACGATCTTCGCGCATGTTGAAAGGTTAAGGGAAGCGGAGGAGTTGGTTGACCAGTATAGGGTAACCGAACAACCTACGTAATAAGGAAACTCAGAAAAAAGAAGACTCTAAACGGAGGTGTCACTCTGGCTAAAGTACACCTGAAAGGTTATCATAAGCTCTGTGGACATTCTCGCTCTCTAAAAGCCAAAAAAAAAAAACACTACAACTACTTGAAGGTGAAGGCACTTTTTGCTATTTTCTATGGTGTGCCAAGGCTGGCCTGTGTTCTCACGTAAAATTTGGCAAGTGGCACATTGCACACATACAACTGAACATTTGTCAGATGGTGCTTCACAGCCACGAACATGAGGGCTACAGGAGAGGTCTGGTGACCTTTTCAAAAGTCAAGTCACAAATAATTAAAGCTTTCCCTTGAAGACCGACAAAATGATTGGACCCCAGGTTTGCTGGTCGGACCAAATCTAATGACCATGATGGTGTGTCGTCGCCTCGGGTCCAGGAGCCAGTCCAGACAGAGATGGCTTTGTGCTCTTTTCCTGAACCTAGATCCCGGACTTGTCATCCTCGGGGCCAGACCTCAGCCCAGAGTGAATGGGGAAAAAAGCTGTTAAAAGATGCCCGCTGGAATTATGTGTCTATTACGTGTCACTTTACAAGGGGCTGTTAGTAATCCTCAAGTTATTGAACTGATGCCAAAAACTAGGGATTAATTATAGCACTAAGACAGTTAAGTTATGAATTGATGTGTCCAGACAGTGTGTCATGAAAGTGACAGATGCGCTTGAGTCAACGGCTGGGGTAGGTCTAATGAGCAAGAGAGCCCTCCAAGGCTGAATGCCATCATGATCGCTCGTCTCCGAACCACAAATCTGACAGGACACTACTAATGAAGCAACTGCCACCAATTCTATACCATGGCGCTGGTAGGTAGCGTTGTAGCCGAGTCCATCACAATTCTCAAGTCAAGTCACAAGCTGTTCATCCCCTGTTGCTTGCAAGGCCAAGGGACTTGTGAAGGGACTTGCTTGTAACCGACCTGGTTATAAATAAATCACAAGCCCTTCGAAGACTCAACTAGTAACAGACTTGTGATGAACCCAACAACAACGCTGCTGGTAGAGGCTGCCACACCATATTCTGCTCACAGATCGCGCCTCTGTCTGATTCACGCAAACCAGAAACAGCAAGCACGGCTAAGAGCATGTTAACTTCAGAATCAGAACTTGCATCATCATCGAAACAAAATCTCCAAGCACAAACTAGCGTAAAAGCACATCGATGCTGTCAATTATGCTTATGGTTAGCTCATACTTTTCTCCAAGAATGATGAAATGTGTGGTGGGATTGAGGAACAGTTTCCTTTGGAATGTATTCGAAGGCATTTTCAACTTGATTATTTCAACAAGTTCAAGTGCAACGAGACAGGTGATGCAAGATGGTGTCCCTACCGAACAGGTGCTCTGCAGCATGTACCGTTTGGGGTTAGGGTCAGGGTTGGTGGCACAGCTTACATCGTGAATAGCTTCCTCACAGTGCAGTCCGAACACCAGACCCAGTTTTGCCACCTCCCCAGTGTATTGTGATATGCAAGGGCGGTTCCAGTCTAACACCTTGCGCGATTTGCATCTAATTATTGAATTTGTTTCCCAATTCTTCATTTCCCAGTTTTTTCTTCCCCTAAGGTGAATGGTACTTTTGGAAAGTCAAAGGGCAAAATTGTCAGTGTGACTCAATCATCAGTCACTTGTTGCTGGTCAAAATGCCAGACAACAAACCTGTAAAGGCTGCAGCATTATCTGTACAATTCTTTAAATGGTTTGCTTCTTGTGAATGGAGATGGTTTTTGTTTTTAAGATCCAAAACAAATTCAATCAACAATGATTCTTGGAGATTCACAACATTTACAAGTACATAATCAGAGTTTTGACTAAAGCTACTCTGTTTGGTAAATCATGCCCAAAACAACACTAATGTTTTTCCTCTTTCCATCTAAGTACTCACGTGGTTCAAGTTTTCATTGTGTGTTGTTCGAGATGATTACGTTGTTTATGTTTTGCATATTTCGGATGGGTTGAATTTTTTAGTAGTCAAACATCGGCACGAACATGTAACACACATGGAAATGTAATTGGGATATCCCAATAAAAGACGTCATTCAACATTTGCCGCACGCTGAATTCCTGTATTGCAAAGGTTTTATAAATACGCAGCAAATATTTCATGTTTCCTTCTTGCACTCGGGCGTTTCAGAGGCGGGCAATTTTAAACAGGCCTCGTCTTGCGGCGGAACTTTCCACAACTAATAAGGACAGAGTGGAAATTGATAATTTCTGATTCAGTTCTTCCTATTTCAATATTGGCCACTTTGGGCCTGGTCTGATTTTCATGAGGGCTATGTGCAGATGAAGTCTGGAAATAAAAAAATCACTTTTTTTCCTCGTAAGGATTTATTAGTTAAACATGGCTATACTTGCCTAGTGAGCTGGATCTAAAAGATCTCACTTTAGGACATTATCTATAGACCAATTCGGGCACGCTATCAATTATATCATGATGGTAACAGTTGCTTTGTACAATAGTCTCAGGCTTTCAAGAACACTCAGCTGAAAAAGTAGAACAGTAGGCTCAAAACATGAACAGTATGTAACACTGTCATGAAAAATATTCAATGAGATTTCATTTTTCGGAGTTGTGGGACAAAAAAGTAGGGAAAAGTTGGGAAAGTAAGTTTTTCAAGAAAAAAAGTAGGAAAAGTAGGAGCAAGGAAAAAATTAACTGGGAAAAAAGTAGGAAAAGTAGGAATACTTGAAAGCCAGTAGTGTGCACAATGGTTTCTCCAATGAAGAGGATTGTTGTTAGTGTAGAACGATCATGTGACTCAGTCAGTCAGTCAGTGGGTCAGTCAGTGACTCGGTTAGAGTCAGTAGACAACAGGCTGGCCAAACTTACCAAGGATTCACCCTTTCTCTGACATCTGTCTATGTCTTGCATCCGAGGCCTCCATTCTGTGGACTGAAAGCAGACGGGAAAATCATAAATTTTCTGAAAACAAATGTATTTTTTTATGCGAGTGTTGAAATGAGACTGTGTAACATTTACAATGCACGTTTTTATTATTTTATCATTGCCATAGGAAAATTATAAAAAAAAAAAAAAGATTACAATTTATTGAACTACTTTTTTGTGAACACTCATTCAAATGAACCTTTTAGGAAGGGAAATGTTTTCCTTCATTCAGGGGAATCTGGAAACTGTACTTAAACATGATACCCTCCAACAAAAGAAAAAAAATAATAATATATCCGACAAATTTCTTTGCTGAAGAAAATTCTGAAAAGAAATCAGGATTGAAAAATTCATACAAATACAGGTTTAGTTTGTCATAATACAAGGTTTTCCCATGAGGGTTGGTTTAGCCACACAATCCCTAAGCAATGCAAGGCCAACAGCACTAGTACCAGGGCCACGACCTTGAAACTAGGTCACAGGACCACAGGATTTAGAACCGTAAAACTAAAAGAAGAAGACAAACCATCCTCTTAAGCCTCTGTTGACAAACAGTTTGACAGGTAGGAGTAGGGTGTGATTGAGATGTCAATCAGCGCTGGAGTGGCACGCTGATATTTGGTAGAAAAACAGGGAGATTGTGTTTCTCCTTTTTTTTGGCAAAAAGCCCCTCAAAAAACCCATGAAAACCCCCAAATCCAAGGTTTTGTTCAATTTCTGGAAAAAGTCCTCTAGGGAATGGGTTAGGATCAGTAGAATGGGCCCTCTTTTTTGGCCATGTGACAACCCGCCAAAAACAACAATCTATTGAAACTTTTTTAACATAAAAACTAGAGACGAGTTAATATTTTGAAATGCAGTTAGTACATGTGTACTTCAGTGTCATTCAGCCCATAACGTGTGATGTCATTTTCTGACTTGCAAAAAAAAAGCAGTTTTGAAGGCCAGTATTGGATCTGTTCCCCCCCCCCTCCCCCACAGGGGTATATTTTTTTATAATTATCCATCCAATGTCTCTACATATTTGCTCTCCCTGCTAAAGCAACGTCCTGTGAATCATCCATCAACTGGGATTTTGACTTCACCCTTTTCCTTCACACACTGCGTATATTCGTTGACCGTAGGCCTACATGTATCACTCTTCAAAAGTCATAAAATAAAATTTTCTAATATACCCAACAAATCTTGAAACAAAATTCAAAACTAAAAATAATATCCCTGTGTTGATATAATTTTCTGCATTTATCTTTCAAAATAGTCAGATGTACAAATTGAGTTGAAGAAAAAACAAAGATTGCAAGAGGGTACTGCGCAATGTACTGTGTGGATGCAGGCTTTTGTGAAGGCAAACAAAACGACACACAACTCTTGCAAAAAAAGTTTTTGCAAGAAAAGTGCTTGGGAAAGTTGTACATTTTCCTATAGAATCTGGAACTGGTTCCGGACACCAGCGGTCGGGTACTACCCGTGTTCCGATGCACACACCCCTAAGCAAAACAGAAATCTGGTTTTTGTAATAACCACTTGAGTTAACCAAAATTGACAATCATTATTGGCCTATTGTGCCCTTATACAGATTTGTTCACACCAGGATCTATGCCATACAGACCCAATGAACTTGTGAACTTGATCAGGTAGCTAAAGGGGTGTCTGGTGTATATCTCCAGGGATTTCAAGATACATGTACCAAACGGCAACTTCTAAAGTTCCTCTGCTCCAGACCATCTACAGCTTACTTCTGAACAAGACCATCCATTCTCAGAAGCCATGAGGCAAAAACCACACTGGCTGTATAGGTATTACTTGGTGGATCGGTACTATCTGTTCCCCCTTGGGGATCGATGGGACTCAATCTAGCTGAAGGAATTATGGGATTTGTTGGCCAGCGGTTTGCCGGGACGGAAAGAAGAAAAAACATGGCAAGGGGATCGGTGATAACAGATAAGCTGCTCCTGAACTTGGCCGACAAACATGCTTTGCTGCTTTATTTGGAGCCTGACAGATCAACTTTAGAAGCTTTTTAGTGTACACAAGGGGACAATGACCTCAAATAAGTTGACAGGATAGTGTCAAACTTTACAACTTCAAACAAGGCCATCTTGGAACCCATTTCAAGAAAAAAATGCAGACGTTTCAGTACGAGAAGTTTTCAAAACCGACTAAAAATCTTGCTGGCATTTTTTTCAGTGTACAAGCATGTACCCTGTACCATATACAGGTATGTGCCCGACATTATAAAAAAAAAATCTGCCATAAACGGCCTTCCAAATTCATCTATATACAGATGTCTGGATTGCTCATCCTACATGGACCACAGACCACTTAAATGGTCTGTGCATGGACACAGAATACGCCAATCATAGACAGATGGAAAAAATACACAAATACCCAAAGTCCGCAAACACGCTTCTTTTGTACAAATTTGTCACAATCTTTAGAAAACTACTGGCCCTATTCTACCCGCAGATGAAGAAAAAACGATCCAAACCCATACAGGAATAAAGTGGCCAGCTGGAAGGAACATCAGAATATGACAAGAGTGAGGGAAAAAAATTAAGAAATACCAAACTAAGGAAACAGGTGTGGAGATAATAGCAAAGGGTTTATATGGAGGTAGAGGTTCCGGCTAGACATATGGTGGAGTGAGACATTAAAGGTGGGCTCGTCATGTCATGCAGTCCGCAAAAGGCTTCGTAATTGGCAATTTGTTTCAGTTGTCCGTGAAAATTATCCATTTTTGGTCCGGAGTCTGGAGAGTATACTGTCCGCATCACGTTTGCAAGGCGGCAACATGTAGCCTACAAGGGAGGTTTTGAAGTCAGCGACTGATTAACTAGTATCAAAAATTCAACATGGTTTGAGGTTAGAAATGGGCAAACTATGTGTAGTTCCTGAGGCGAAGCTGAGGGAACTAGAATGCGAGACTGGGTAAACCCAGAGCCCGGGGGAAACCTAGTCTATGGAATATCCCCTTGACAGCAAGTGTCTATAATATGCCAGCAGATTCAGCGATTAATTATGCAAAACAAGACTGCGTCTTAATTGACCTCGAGATTCTGACCATTCACCGGGCGCCTTCTATATCAGGTCTTCAGTAACCCGTTGTTGTTTTACAAAAAACATGGCATCCAAATTGACCAATCAACAGCTTAGTACACATTTCTCAATGAATTGACATTACAGTTTTGAAATATTTGCATGTTAGGATATATCAGATATTCATCTGTGGCTCTGCACACATGAATGTCTAATCATTAGACCACAGGGGCAACCCTATGCAATATATAACTGTAAATTGTACATAGGGACTTGAAACTCTTCCCAAATACCTGCCTTGGTAGTATATTTTGAGGAAGGTGGAAGGCAAAGAAATACAAACTCCTTTATAAACTTCAGGCACATCTCAAAAAGAAAATGACGGACCCTTCATGATGACATCTTTAACTGTTCTTCCATGACGCATATCTTCCATCTCCACAAATCAGGAGAGAGATTGCGAGGTCATCTCAGGAGGAGACTTAAACCGCCCATCAGCCCTTTAAAAAAAATTCAATAGTTTGCTTTTGCAGATGCTTGGAGAATTCCACAGAGAAATGCCAATGTGGTTACACATCTGTACTATAAGTGTAAACTCTCTTTTGCAAAAGGACATCCGTTGTAGCTGATGAACACGGTATAGAGCTACCAGGAGTGTGTAGTCAACATGTATGGTATTACAGATGACCGGGTGGCGTGGGCGAGATTTTCACCATCAGTATCTCGCTAAATTACTTGTCATCACAGTCTAGGTATCTCCAGATGCGCAGAAGGGAAACATTTCCTCTCACTAATATAACCCACAACACTTGGCCTCACCGACCAACTTGGCCTTACTAGAGCACTGCCAACCATTCACAAGCATCAACATGTTTATGTTAACAGAGTAACAGATCTAAGTGTGTTTTAACCCTTGCTCTGATACAACCATGATTACAACAGAGATATGATGAGAAGCCACACGATCCAAGGAATGCCAAGCTAATCCTCTGACAGGCAAATGAGCATCCTTCAACTCGAGACTTTGCAGATTGGGGTCTGCATCCTCCAATGCACTCCACAAAAAAGAGAGTTTGGGCATGTCAAGATTACTGGTAGTGGTGTGTATAATTCGGGAACTAGGTACCCTACTGAAGTAAAACACTGGTACCCGGTACCCGTAACAGAAACCCAAACCCCAAATTCAAATTCCAGAAGTTGTCTGAAGGGCTTTATAGCTTTACGGTGGAAACTGCAACTTTCGCGAGTGTCATCTGTCACGTGTTGAAATGCACATATTGAAACGTGAAATATGTTTTGGTTTTCCATGTAGCCTGGTTTTCATTTTGAAAATTCTCCAAGCACACACGGCATTTGAATTCTTTCTTTTTCATTGTCTCTGAGAAATTACTGAGTAATTTGTAAAGATGGTTACGGGTACCCGATACCATATCTGGAACTGCTTCTTGACATCAGTGGTCAGGTACTCGGGTACCCGGTTCCGATGACCGTACCCTAATTACTGGCAAGAAATTTACTCACAGAGCAAGGGTGGTCAGATTCATTGCTGTCATTTCTTACCAATTAACCCGAAAATCTGCTCAATTCAGTCGCAACCTTTCTCGGATTTCTCCAATTGGTGTTAACAAATCTAAGAGCCCGATGCAGTGATGTGACAGAGAGAAATGAATCATTAACAGAGCAAAGGAGAAGGGGGGAAAAAAACCCAGGAAGGAATCAGGAGGAATAAATTAACTCGTTTTCCTGAACCTGCCAAATGAATCGTGCACTTTCTTGATCCTTTTGAAGTACGAGTCCCTGACACATCTCTGGTTCATTCAAGGTTCCGGGCATTACTGGACTTCCCTCTGCGCGACAGCTGCAGGGCTGGAGGAGTTCTAACCCCAAATCAAATTGGACAAGTTTCTCATTTTATGCTGCCAACAAAACAAACTGTTGCAGATTCGGGCCGGGCCGTAAATCACACATTACCCAGATGTTTCCTGTAAAGTTCCTCCCTGATTCTGTCCCCATAAACAGCTTTTATTGGAGGTTTTTAAATAGATTTGGATGGGGTTCGACCCAATCCTACGACCCCTGCAAACTTTTAAACTCAGCTTCCTGTAAGTAAATCAGAGGGCATTTATTTGGTTCCCCGGGAAATAAATGTTGTCAATGACACAGGATTGGACTGACAAAAAAAAATCTTTGAAATTTCTCGAATTTGTCAAATTGGATTTGGGAAGGGTTCGGAGTAAATTAATGTTTGAAGGCAGCTTGGGAGGGCGGGAAATTGAGCTCTGTGGGTGAGCTCTGTTTGATGAATTGAGGGTCAAAAGTGTAAAGTTTGAAACAAAAGTAGTGATACTTGTCGTGAGAATATTATTTTGCTGAAGAGAACATGGCTATCTGAAATGACTTTTGCTAAAAGACTTCATAGTACACAGCTGATGACTAGTCATGCGAATAAGAAATATCAAAATACTACCCCGTTTACCCTACCCTACCCAACCCTCTTGTAAAACTTCAAGTTTCTCTGAAAAAACATGTACAGGTCAGTGGTGAAAGAAATGCTAACCTATACCTCAGCCTCAGGTTTCTAAGACAGGAATGACAGAATTCAAAACATCCTAAGCATCTTCTAAAAATGGTACGCCCCCTAAAACTGCAAATTCCCTTGACTGAAAAAGTATTTATTGCAGAGCGCCCGTTACATCACGTTAGTAGTAAAAAAATATATGGCGATCAATCTACGGTGGCCTCTTCTACTAACGTAGATAGCAAATATCCTCCGCATGTAAGACGGCCATGCATCACTTGAGATCTGATTCCTTATGGGAGCGGCCGGGTGCATTGCAAGCAGGTCATCTTCCCATCATCTCCCACTCCTTCAACGTCAACAGACGCCCCGGCTCAGAGAGAAAAAAAAACAAATGGTAGACTGCGGGCAGATGGAAGGATTCCCATGGACATTGATGATGTCTTGCTTTGCCAGTCTCAGCCTCTGAGTAACCCAGACACGAAGTGACAACCGCAGGGGAGAAGGGGGGGGGGGGGGAGATGAAGGCGACAGAGGAACCCTCTCTCCTCCCACTCCCCGGCTAATCTCTTCAAATGTCACACTCCTGGGCCTGGAAATGTCAGGGTCCATCAAGCCCGTCACTGCAGGACAGGTGGCGGAGCAAACTCAGACAGACCCTCGCCAACGATTCCTCCATTTATTTGTTTTTTGTCTCTCCTTGTATTTGTCGAACCGCTGCTCGAGAACGAAACTGACATCATCTTATTTTCAGAAGATCTTAAGCAATTATAAAAAACAAAAACAAAAACAGCACGAGCATAACTGGACTTGATTGCTGGCTCCTTAAAGTCTCCAGATGATACTTCCATTGTTAATTATACCCGGTTTGTTTTCAGGAATCTTTTCTTATACATCTGTTGTTTTTCCAAGGTTTGTATCCCACCATGACCTACCAAGTTAACAATGTCAGTGTATCATGCTTTCAGTGACTCTCTTTGAAGGCAATATTTGGCTTATTTCCCCCGATGAGTTGGTTGTTCACTGCCTGTTTGTGGGACTGGATGCCAGTCTGTATGTCATTATCGTTGACATTTTGAAATCAATTCTTTATCAATGGCTTTCAAATCACCCATCAGTGGGGCCAAGCACAGAAATGTACTAAGCACAAAGGTATGCTATTAAAGCAAAGACAGAGTACCAGCCGAAATGCCATACAGAGTATATTGCTTTTGAATGGTTCCCAGCTGGTTTTTGCTCAGCACAAACATTTGCTAAGCATCATTTTCCGCCCTTATCCACTGCTTAATAGTTACTGCATGTGAAGTGTAAAGAAAAAAATCAGTAAGGCTACTAATGGTAGTTGCTATATTAGTCTATGTTCAAGGGCCCGTGCAATGTAATTTTTCTTTAATGCAGTCCTTGACTAAGCACCTTTGTGTCCCACTCAACCTTATTTCCAATTTTCGTTTTGCCATTTTCAAGGGTACTTTGATACTTTTTGTTTTTATGCTAATGCAAATTGCCATATTCGTGAGCAAAACTGTGATGTCTTTTTGGGCAGAAACCTCAATGTTACAGCTATTTCAGTACCAAAAGTTGAAAGAATATTTGATATTTCGCTGTCGTAAAATGTCGTTTCTTTGGTGATTCGTCGTTGTGTCAGTACATGGCAGTAAGCCAATGAGCAATCCTTTCTCACAAATGTCTTCAATGAGAAAATTTCTGGGTTCACAATTTGAACAGAAAACCCCTACTCTGAACAGTGTCTTCCTGAAATGACATCACAGCAACAGCACCCTCAGTTGTTGGGAAAAGCATGGAAAATTGACCAAAAAGGGATTTCAACTATTTTTCATACATTTAAGAGGAGTAGAAAGTTGCACAAGATATGTTCCAAAGAAAAATTCACTTCACAAACCCTTTAAAATGCTCAACGTTTCATCTGAAGGTTGCTCCTTGCTACTTTTATCGATTTATTCAATTCCCAACCCCACAGATGTTTGCCATAAACCTTTAAAATGGAGCCCTCATAAATGTCAGAGGGAGTAGACTTTGAGGATAAACAAACCTACATCAAAGTCAACCCAAATCAGCCAAGTCCAAGGCTCTGACTTTGAAGTCGTTTTTTTAAAGACCAGTGGCCCAATTTCTCAGACATGCTAGGCCAAACACATTGCAAAACAAAAATCACTTGAGAACCAGTTTAGGGGAGAATCCAAACTTTATCAGGTGGTAACTCAAGTTAAAGCTCAAGGTTTAACAGGGTTTTGTGAGGTTACCTCAGGGTAAAACCTCCAGTTACCCCTGGTCACAATTTTGCATGTTACCCTTACAAGCGATGTACACAACATGGCATTCTGACCAGTAACTTGTTTTTGCTATGCAGAAAATTTCATACAATTTCAAGCACCAATTTTGGTGCTTGTTCAAGTGGCCCATGAGTCTTAGTTCTAGATGTAACTGATCGAAAGTGGATCGCTTCACGCTGTTTGTTCCACTGTGATGTACCGTCACACTACATAGTTCAAATCGCTCACACTAGCAAGCAGTTTGCGCAAGTAACCAAACGGTAATAACTAGTCATGGGAGGGCGCACTACTACTATTAAAATCGGCCACGCAGTGGCAGTCCATTATCGTTCACTAACGTCTTGGACCACGACTACACTGATGCAGGACAGGGATGCTTTACGGCCTTGTCCCTCTCCCAACTTGATCCCCCCTTCAACAACCGGTATCAACAGCAGCAAAGAAGATGCAAAGATATGGCTGGCTCGTTGGCGGTAATATCACTTAAGTAACCATGCCTCGGGGTCTCGTTGCCTTTTACCCCAGTGCCAAGTAAATTAACGAGGATATACTTCTCCCCTCTAAACTTGGGAACAGGCTTCGGCAGAAGAGAGAGGTGTTGCACATCTGGCCAAGACAGCAGAAAAAACGAGGCGGTAGATCTGTGGAAGGTCGGAATGATTTTTTTTTTCTAGTTTAAGATCCCTGACATTTGCCAAAACGGCACGCCAACTGGAGTGCAGAAGCAATTTTTTTTTGAGGGAAGACAGATGACAGACAGATGTCTCTTGTGTTGACTATACCTAGCCACTCGAAGACACATGTAAAAGCAATGCCGCGATGTAGGTGATACTTTTAACAAGACACCTACATGAACACCTCTTCAACGATGAGGAATTTCTTTGACGAATTTCCGAACACGGGACGTGGGATATTTTTGGGGATGGCCATTCGGCAAAGGAGGCGTGATCAAAGTCATATAATTTTGTGGAAAGTGCAGTCATTTGGTCTTTCCCACAATTTTTCCACATGGGAAAATTTGTTGAAATTACAACTTGACACGCAATCTTAAAACTCTACAAACTACAACTGTCTCGGTGCTTGTCTCAATTATCTTTGGTAAAATTTATACGTGTTCTAAACGGTAGCAGTTTGCTCCATTAACCTTTTTGAAGTATGAGGGCGAACTTTGGAGTGGGTAAATAGTGCCTCATATGGTGTTCGCTATACTAAACAGGCTACCGATAATTAGCCCCTCCCCCATATATCCCGAATAGACATAGCTTTATCATAGGCAAGACCTTTTGAAAGTGTTGATTCACAACATTTTCTTGAAGCCCGAGGGAAAGATGTAAAAGTTGTAAATTTTCTTCTGCAAGTCTGAGGTAAATTGACCAGTGCCTATGGTAATGTGGGTCATTCTATAGGGGAGTCAGGCTGTCTGGCTGTGACCCAGTTTTGATTCCTGCCTGGGCCAATATGTGGATTGGGTTTTCAGTCCCTACCTGATTCCGTGGGTTTCCCCAGAATATCTTCTGGGGTTTTCCTCCCACCTCTAAAACTGTAATTTCTCCTCATTGTCTTCTCTCCACAGGTTTCTTCAGGCTTGCGAGCTACAGTGCCTAGGGCACTTTTGAGGTACCAGAAGTAACTAACAATATTAATTTGTGGTCCATTGCTTCCTGTCTCCTTTCCTGCACGCATTACTACCCTTTTCCCCCTAGGAGCGATTGTGTAAAAACAAACTACCGACCCAACAAATGAGAATACTTTGAACTCATTTTTAATGATACATGTACTTGAGCTGCTAACTGAAAAGTTCAGAGGTAAGGGGGGGGGGCGGAAAAATGTCAAACTTTGGACCCTGAATTTATAGAATGACCGCAATGCAACTTGACATACATGAAGTGTGCAACTAAGAAAGAAGGGGTTAGTGTGAGCCTGATATAAGATTATGAATGAAACAGTATCCATGGCGATATGACCTCGGCCCCTAACCCAGCGGTAATCTAACTTGATCCACTTACCTCAATTATGGACAGATCATCCAGGTTTAATCTCACCAGCAAATCTCTGTTGGGGAAAATGCAAAGAGGAAAAAACTTGATGGTTTTAACTTAGTAATATTGAAGAATATCTTCTTGTAGTAGCATCAAAGAAGGTGACAATTCAAGGTAGATTCAAAATGTCAGAACTTTTAATTGTTTTAAAAATGGGTGGTACCATTGAAAAATTTTAAATATATGTGACCTGTCCAAAAAAATTGGTATATGCACATAAGTGAAACAGGATTCCCCCTCCCCCCTAAACTTGGTGAAAGTGGGACCGGTAAGCTTGAAAAATAAAATCATTATGGTAAAAATGCCAAACTAGTGACTTTTTCTGTTGCTCTATAACTGACTTATCTTCATCTAAATTTTAAAAATGTAACAATGGTACACCGAAGGAAGAAAATTAAACCCCAAAAAATGCTAGATTTGTATCTTTTTAAGTTTGGAACTTTAATTTCAGAAAGAAGATGCTTCATAAAAACTCCCTAAACTAGAAAGTGGGTTGCTTTGTCAAAAAATGAAAAATTACTAATTTATGTCGCTGATGTGAAAGTTAATCTGTACTCAGCAGTCTGGGGATTGAGAATTATGAACTTTCATTTTCTCCAGCATAATAATGAAACAAATATGACCGGATGTTTGGACCAAATTCTCTTTCAGAGTGTCATCATCATGAGCGCTTGTTATCAGGACCTACCGATATACACCCCAAAAAAGAACTTGTTTGAAAAAAAAAGTTGTTTGTAATCGTTGCTTTTATTAATTACACCTGTCAACAAGGGAAAATCTCCTTGGGTTAGTAAGGTAACAATAACATAGGCGGTAAACTGCACTGGGTACATGTGGGTATGAAAGGGATGTTTGCATTTCAGGTGTCACGGCTTTTTAATTTTTACGGCCGACAAGGAGGGCGAGTTGACATACTTGTCACTCTGGGAGGCAATATAGAAATACTTCATGCTTAGCCATCCGTAAGTTTTTACAACTCTTTCGGGCACGATAAATCAAACTCTTACTTGTTTAGGGTAAATAAAAAATACTGTAAAGACCTTTTTTACCAAACTTTTTTCCCCCCAAATAAATTAAGGCGGCAACTGCAAAATAGAGTTTGCAAAAGGTTACAACTGTACCGGTCCAGTGAATTTTATACAGGAATTTCTGCCCAAATGGTTACAAAATTCCCAAACTTTGCTCCGATTTTAGAGAAATTTTACATTCATCACTCTTAATTGGTCATTTTAAAAATGACCAATCGACCAATTACAAATTACGAATTACGAATTAGGAATGATGAAATGACAAATTAAAAATGCCCAATTAAGAATGTTGAATGTAAAATTACTTTACATTTTTTTTTTTTTTTAAATGACCAATTAAGAACTGGTTATTGTTAAAGAGTTTTAACATCTTTGTTTATTTTTTTGTAAATAAATTTTCAGTGTACTAATAATTATTCAATACCCACCTACATGTGCCCCTTCATGTTTGTTTTTTGGTACAGTATGTAATAAAGAACCTCCTGCCCTGTTTCTGTTGAACTAAACAGAACTCAACCACCACCAACATATTTGAAAACATTTAGGCCCAAACAAGCTCAACTCAAACATCCCCTGGTTTATTAGTGAACAAACCCTCTCTGTACCATGTGGACAAACAACCTCAATTTGAGGCTTATCTTCTAAATTAGTGGATAAAAACTTGACAAGAGGGCCATTTATTTCTTGAACTGGCTAATTTTGTACCCGGGTCAAGTCTGACCACAGACGGAGGGTTTTGCGGTCTAACCACTCACTGTTCTCAACACTCAAGCAGCTGACGTTGAAAGTTCTCGCTGTGAAGACTTCCTCTTTTTGGGGGGGGGGGCCTTAAATTTGGAGACGAGGAACCTCGGGCCACGTCCAGATATCAACAAGCTCAAGACTGTTTGTTATTCCGCTAACAGCAGAGGAAAAACATCCGTAAGATGAATGATTTGAAAGCTTCATCTTGATCTCATAAGGAACATAAACCTGTAAAACGGACGTGTTCAAACTTCAAGTGAAACATTTTTGTATCTTTAGATTTTCTATAATCGAGTCCTTGGTTTGAAAGCATGATAATATGCCTAAATATGGAATGTAATATATCAATGAATTCCTATTAGGAGTAAGCTAAAAGAAAATGGAACGAGCATGACCATGGAAAAAAACAACATAAACAATACCCCTCGAGCCTCTGGGCTGAGTGGTAAAAAACTCCTTTACCTCTTATTTTTTTCATACAGCCTATATATGTATGAGCAAAAGAACATCAACTTTTACAAGACACGGAAGAAATTTTCCTCTCAGGATTGGGGTGCTTCTTGCCATGCTTGAAACAGACAAAAGCTCTCTTACTAGTGGAAAATTGTATACTTAGAAGTGCCAAGAAATTGGAGGCCCCCCCTCAAAAAAAAAAAAAAAACGACTAAAATTTGCCACCCCTGGGTAGTCCAAACAAGGTTTTCAAACAAACAAATATACCTCCCAAATAAACTAAAGTATCACCTCCTGGGGATGTCTGTTTATTTTTCTTTCCAATATTAAGTTTATTTTGAAATTCACCCAGAGCTCTAAAAGCCATTTTTGCCAAGTATAAACATAAATGGCTATTGAATGTTTTCGAAAGAAAGAAGTGTCCTCCTCTGGATTTTCAGATACATGTATGTACACACGTTCCACTGGTAACGAATCAATGTTTTGGAACACATTTGTAAGTGGGCTTTTGGGCTGAAAAATGGCAATTATCTTGAAGCTGAGCCCAAACCACAATTTCTTTAAAAAAAAATGGAAATATAACTGTTAAATACATTTGCGAGAAGAAAATGTAGAAAGTAAATTATACTCTACAAAGTTCATTCAGAATTTTCAAAATCTGACCACTTAACCAAAACCAGTGTTGGAAAAAAAAAATTTTAAATTCAAAAGATTTCCCTCCAATGCAAAGAAATCAAATGGTCCATGAAAAATATTAAAAAGTCTAAAAAGTGCAGAACTTTTCAGGAATCAAACAATTCTCTGTTAGTGGGGGGTGGGGTGTGGTGGGGGTGGGGGGGGGGGGGCGGTGAACTTCAATGAAGATGATGTGAATGACTGATCACACTGACCTGGCGCCAACGAGTAGTTCGTGGGACCTCTTGTCGACGACCAACTGAGAATAATCCGTGATGCCCTCCACGCTAAAAACGTGCAGGTTCGACTTGAGTAACTCTACAGAAATGAGAGAAAAAGGAACAAAAAGTGAAAAAAAACATAGATCACAAATATTCTGACCCTTTCATTCACACCTTTCAATTGTTAGTGTGAGCAAGCAGCCACACTGTCCGGACAGAGAGATTTGTTTAATCCAACTTTCCAAGGCCAAATCCAGCTCCATTTTTAATTCAAGCAGTTAGGGGCAAAACGGCGACAACGTCACCACAGTGCACAAAGTGTGCCGACGAAGTTGGTTGGCTAAAATATACTTTAGAATATATATTAAGGTATTCATATGGTTTGCCTACGTGCAACTAACAAAGCTGAAACTCTGAGGCTTTGTAAAACTTTTCAAGGGCAATATTCTTGCCTTTGGATATAAAGGTACTATTGTATGTTAAATCTACGTTGCAGAATAATAAAAGGACTGCTGAAAAAAGGGAAGGAATTTCTGCAAAACTTGTCGCTAATGGCTATTGGTCAAGAGTATTGGAACTGGTTAAATTTGTTTGCACACATAGAATGTGTATCTCGTGAGGTAAGTAAAGTTTGTCACGAGCCAATGTGGCCCATCAGGCTGGCGTTCATCTGCGGTTTCAGTACCATGAAACGCCTGAGAATATTTCTACATCCCCAAGATGGGATCCTAGTCCATCACAAGTTACTCCCCAGGTAATGCCGGTACACTCTTGGGTGAAGAGAGGCAAGTGGGGGTGAAGTGGCTTGCCCAAGGACACAACATATGACCAGCAGCTGGAATCGAACCCCTGACCCTCTGATCATGAGTCACGAACCCTAACCACTAGGCCCCCCCTCCCGTATCTCATGAAGCACTATTTTAAATTGAATACGAGTTTCTTTTCAAACACACTGCACAGATTAAAAACCAATACTTCTGACAAACAGTTTGAATCTGTTTGTACTTTTAAATGGCACATTCTGCACGCTTTACATCTATAGCCGAGACTTTATCAGGCTTCTAAAAAAGAAACAGTACATGTTTCTTGGCTCTCCAGTAGTCCTTCAAAATTCTGAAAAGCCAGGCGTAGGTTTCAATGGATTAAAATAGAGTCTTAAGGCCAGTTCCGATACTTCATGCACATGCGGATCCATAGCGACCTTGTCCTCATGAAACATTCACTTCCAAATTCACCAAAATTAAAATGTGTTCCAACTTCTGGAAATTCACAACGCGAAAAACTTGACGTGACGTCACCAGTTAGCGTTCGCCTACACTTTCGCACTGAGTATGAACCGGCCTGTGAATGGTTGAGTGCATACAGGTATTTGAAAAAACAAAAACAAAAACAGGCCCACTTTATTGAAGTGAATTTTCTCTTGGCAATAAACATCCTTTCATTCAATGAAATGAGAAGGAATTTTACAATATACAGGTGTACATACACCACCTGTTGTACACATGTAGGCGTATTGTTGGTAAGTTCAAGCGTGTTGTCTGAGTGTTCCATCATTTTGCTGTGTCTTGGAAGTTTTGACCACAGTTAACCTCTGTGTGACCCAAACTGATGCATTGCCAATGGGTACAATTTACCAATTTCAAAAGTAACAATCGCACAAGAATTGAGCTCCCTCTTTTGTGTCGGGACAGTCGTACCCAACATTAGGCCTGGGCGTTAACTTGTCATGACTGGTTTAGTAGTCAAACAAGGTGATGAAATTCTTCTGAATAGTGCCCCCTACAAAAAAGATGCCAGAACAATGATACTGTCAACAAATGCTTCAAATTGCAACAAACAAAAAAGAAATTCAATTTGAGGTTGACTAAAACGCTTCTATTATTGAATAAAGTACCTGCGAACAATGAAACAATCAAATTGCCCCCCTCGATTAAAATTCCAAGCTTTTTGGGGGGCAACCTTGTTGAATGGACTAAGCGTACTGCACTAACACCCTGCACTAACTGAAGGAGGAACTAACATGATGGTTGTTGACAGCCAGAAAATGGACAAAAACGACGATTAAAATTCCTTTCTGGACTATTCACATTTGGAACCCAAACGGTTACCTTTTTAACAGACAATGTACAATGTACTTTCTACCGCTGGGCCAGTAACTCGATTACTCGAGTACTCGTGAGTAGTTTATGCTACTCATTCTACTCGTGGTTTTTCATCTACTCGAGTACTCGTCCTTGCGCGAGTAGAAGCAGGTACTCCCAAGTAGCAATTTAGGGTTTAGGGTTCACGGCTTAATATGTCCCATGCAGGGAATCACTCCCTCCACCTCTCTCTCCCTAGGATTCCATTCGTCCAAAATAAAAATCAAGTAAATGACCCAAAACGTCACACAGTAAGGACAACTCAGTGCTGAAAAATGTGTTGGACTTGCACGCTATTTGCTTGTACATGTAGTTACTTCCCGTAATATTAAGGTATTGTACTAAGGTAATTTTTCTGCTTTTATGGGAATTCAATTACTCGCAAGTTCTTGACAACTTGCAAGTAATTTCTTTGTGAGTACTTGAGTAGAAAAATCCACAACTTTCACTGTTTGCAATACATGCTGCTGGGGGCAAAGACTCCGCAAAAAAAAGAGTCCCAACACCGCCTCAATTTCTCAGATCAGGGCCTGACCCAGAATTTAAGAGTGAAGGAAATTTTGATGAAAATCCATTCATGCAAACCAGAGATACAACAGATTATAAATGGCAATGTGGTTTTTTTTCACCCGTTCCAATGTGATTTACGCAGTATAATGAAAAGATCCATTGCAGAGTGCCAGTTGAGCGATTTCCAATGCAATGTGTAATCCCCATTAGAATGGTTGAAAAACGCACATAATCTGTTACAGCTCCGGTTTGAATGAATGGGTTTCCATGACATTTTCTCTGATTATACACAAGAGTACCGTAGGCCTACAATTAATATGCTCCATCAAAATGAAATATTTGTGTTGCACTTTTTTTTTATAGAAATTTAACGATAAAAAGTTGTTTGAGGATCACTCTGTACAGCAAGGAACAGTCAGACTACGTGTAGCTCTACTGCAGAATTGTCAAGACGCATAGCTTTAAGGGTATTTACCAGTACTTTTTGCTTCATGAGGTCGCGCCTTCATCTCACCTGCACTTGCCAAAAGTGCACTCACCTTGTTTCTCGGCGCAAAACTCAAAGAAAGAGGAGGGCAATATTTTTTTTACACAGCAAGCACGCAGCAACTCTCCAATTCAGACAATTACACGGGCAGTAAAGAATGAATTGAAATTCTCAGGTGGTTCACGAGCCAAAACAACACCCTTGTTCAAATCTTTACAACCGTAAAAATGCTGTTGAACGGTTGAATTTATTTCGGAATTCCGTTCACGGTAAGACCCAACCCTTACTTTGTATTTCTGTCAGTCCCATCTAATAATATGCTCCGTTACTACTGAAAATTCTTCTGCAACGGATCGATTCAAATCATTCCAAATATTTTTGAAAACTTGCAAAGGACCAAACAGTTACGGGTAGTACAATGCAACAAATTCCGCACTGAAGTATATGTACTTTACACCCTTTCATTTTACGGACAATTTGAAATGATGCAATTTTGCTGATGAATTGAATAGAGTAATTACGGGCATAGATTGAGAGCAAAGTAAACCAAAAAATTTCCAAATTCCATTTGGAATGTACACTTTTCACTCACTTTTCACTATACTTTAAAAGACCGATCAATTCTATATAATATGCACCTCTTTGATAATAAGTAACATCATTGCCAAAGTTGCTTGCATCATTGCTCTATATATGCTAACATCGTGACATTGGGTATGATCCCTGGCAACGCCGCATACATACAGTGTACAGCTTTATGACTTCTGACTAAGTGCCCGTTGTACAAAAACCACTGTAGTCCAATAGTTCAAACCGCGACAGAGAACATGGTACTTGTGTTCTTGGGCAAGACACTTTACACTTCATTCACATGCCTCTCTCCACACAGGAGTATAAACGGGTACCTGTGAAGGTAGATGCCAGATTGTGCTGACCTCAAGCTGCTGCCAAAAAAATGGTCTCATGGCTTAATGATCCGGGGTAATAACTAGTGCTTTAATCCTTTGGCAAAGGCGTTTTATTAATATTAACCCTACATCTAACTTCCTAGAATGTGTGAAAATTCATACGAAAACTGGAGGATTTGGGACTGTCCGAGTTCAGGCAATGACATTTTTGGAGACCGCCAACGTACACATACATATGTAGGGCTGGATAGCTCGGCACGTGAGTGCTGGTATGGTATTCTGTATGTCACAGGATTGTATTCCATTTCATTCAATTTCTTTATTCAGCCTTGGGTTAGGTAAGTTTCCCCTTTGTGGTTCATCACACTTTTTTTCACCAACTACATCTTGGAAACAATTCTTGTAAATCATCCCTCAAAAAGTTCAAACCCATCAAAGCTTGTCAGATTATCAATAGTGCCTCCCCAAGGAGGTATCAATGCATAAAAAGCCTTTTATTCCTTTTGGTTTTTCAATTTCTTGTTTCTGTTTACTTCGTTCCCACCTAAAGTGAATAGATGGACACTGGACAATACACTAATGGAGGTCTCTCGGACGAAATCTCTCGGTTTGCCCTCCCATTTCAAGAATAGAGGCATTGGGACGTGTCCAGTTACGGACTGAAGGCACTCAGGCATGCATGAACATGTTAGATTGCGAAACCCCAAATGAAATTCTTGGGTCTATTTCAGTAGAGCAAGGTACGGTAGGGTCGTGTGCAGCTTGCAAACTATAGAGATTGGGGGTTTCAGAAAAATAGGAACAGGAGACACAGATCTGATGATGTTGCTTCTGAGTTGCAACACTTCTTTCTTGTTACTGAGAAATTTTGTTACCACATACTTAAACTGGTCGCAGAGTCTTCTGATGTCTTTTTTTTAATTACTAATCCTCATATGCAAACAAATATTCTGTGCCAAGTTGTCCTTTCTGTCAAAATCAATCAAGTGACTGTGTTCAACAGTTATTGAAATCCCAAATTGCATAATGCAGAATTGACTGGCTGTGACTG